AAAATTTCAAAATTCACCATAGAAATTAAATGAGACTCTAGGTCTTTCCCCATTGTATATCCATGGCTCCTCTATCATACATTAATTGACCATATATGCTTGGGTTTATATTTGGACTGTCCAGATACAAAATGTCCAGATACAATCCAATCCTAGCATATGAAGTTCCAGGAAAATCTCCACATTTATGAGAAAAGGTCAATGCTGAAATGACATATGTTGAAATTATCTGGTAAAATTTAAAGCAGCAAATATAAAATAGGTTTGAAAGTGACATCTTTCAACACTTTTGAAACAAATGGAAAAAAATAGAAAGCTTCTTGAAAAATAGAAAATACAACAAAATAAAAACAAAATGAAATTTTGAAACTAAAGAAAAAAGCCTTATTAAATGGTCTCAGTAACAATGAAGATGATAGACAAAACATCTATATTCCTATACATGAATATAGGAAATAAGAACCATCCAATTTGAGCAACTGAGAAAAATAATTGAAAAAAATCCAGCAATCTGTGGGATCCAAGATTTATTTTATCAGTTTCAGAAAAGGAGAAAGAATATATTACTATACACAAAAACAAAGATGAAAGGAATATAGAAAAGATGCTCCACATTGCTAATCATCAGAGAAATACAAATTAAAACCACAATGAGATATCACCTCACACCATTTAGGATGGCCAATATTGAAAAGACAAACAACAACAAAGTGTTGGCGAGGATGTGGAGAAAGGAGAACCCTCCTACACTGCTGGTGGGATTGTAAATTAGTTCAACCATTGTGGAAAGCAGTATGGAGGTTCCTCAAAAAAAAAAAACCTCAAAATAGAAATACCATTTGACCCAGGAATTCCACTCCTACGAATTTACCCTAAGAATGCAGAAGCCCAGTTTGAAGAAGAAATATGCACCCCTATATTTATCGCAGCACTGTTTACAATAGCCAAGAAATGGAAGCAACCTGTGTCCATCAGTAGGTGAATGGATAAAGAAGATGCGGTACATATACACATGGAATATTATTCACCCATAAGAAGAAAACAAATCCTACCATTTTCAACAACATGGATGGAGCTAGAGTGTATTATGCTCAGTGAAATAAGCCAGGCGGAGAAAGACAAGTACCAAATCATTCCACTCACCTGTGGAGTATAACAACAAAGAAAAAACTGAAGGAACAAAAGAGCAGAAGACTCACAGAAGCCAAGAATGGACAGCAGTTACCAAAGGGAAAGGGATTGGGGAGGATGGGTGGAAAGGGAGGGATAAAGGGGATAAAGGGGCTTTACTATTAGCAGACATAATGCAGTGAGGGGGAGGGACATGGGAAAGGCAGTATATACAGAGAAGACAAGTAGTGATTCAATAGCATCTTACTATGCTGATGGACAGTGACTAATGGAGTATGTGGTGGGACTTGATAATGGGGGGAATCTAGTAACCACAATGTTGTTCAAGTGGTTGTACATTAATGATATCAAAATAAATAAATATAATGAAAGGAATGATTGAAGATAGGTTGCTTAATGCTGCCCAAATTTGGTGAACATAAATGTATACATTCAAGAATCTCAGGAAACTCAAATGTAGACATAAAGAAATCCATGCTGTGCACATATATCACAAACTGCTGAAATTTTAAAATGAAGAAAACCTGAAAGAAGCTAGAGAAAACTGCATTAACTTCATTACCTGTACAGGGGAAGAATTTGAATGATGTGGATTTCTTATCAGAAACCAAGGAAATCAGAAGGAAGTGACTTTTTTATTGAAGTGTTGTTCATATACAATCTTACACTGTTTTCAAACGTACAACACAGTGGTTCAACAGTTACCCATAGTATTAAATCCTCACTCTCTCTAGTGTGGTTACTATCAACATAGAAAGATGTTACAGAATCACTGGCTGTATTCTCCATGCTGTGCTACTGTCCCTGTGACCAACTTATATTGTGATTGGGAATTACTGTGCCCCTTTATCTCTGTCTCTCTCCCTTCATGCTCACTGCAACCCCTCCCAGTTGCTAACCACTAGTCTCTTCTCAGTATCTGTGAGTTTACTGCTGTTTTGTTTCTTCTGTTTTGCTTTGTTCTGTATTCCACAAATAAGTGAAATCATGTGGTATTTGTCTTTCTCCTCCTGGCTTATTTTACTGAGCATAATACCCTCTAGATCCATTCATGTTGTTGCAACGGGAGGATTTTTCTTTTTACGGATGAATAAGATTCCATTTTGTATATGTACAACTTTATCCATTCATCTACTGATGGACACTTAGGTAGCTTCCATATCTTGGCTATTACAAAGACTGTGGTGATAAACATATGGGTGAGTATGTCTTTTTGAGTCAGGGATTTCGTTTTCTTTGGGTAAATTTCTTGAAGTGGAATTACTGGATTGAATGGTATTTCTATTTTTAGTTTTTTGAGGATACTTGAGTCTGCTTTCCACAGTGGTTGTACAAATTTATATTCCCACCAGCAGTGTAGGAAGGTTCCAATTTCTTTGCATCCTCACCAACATTTGTTATTTCTTGTCTTTTTTGGGCAGTGGCCATTCTAACTGGTATGAGGTGATATCTCACAGTGCTTTTGATTTGCATTTCCCTGATGATTAGTGATGTGTAGCATCTTTTCATGTGCCTGTTAGCCATTTGTATTTCTTCCTTGGAGATATATCTTTTCAGTTCTTCCACCCATTTTTTAATTCACTTATTTGTTTTCTGGGTGTTGAGGTATGTGAGTTCTTTATATATTTTTGATATTAACCCCTTTTCAGATGAGTTGTTTACAAATATATCCTTCCATATTGTAGAATGCCTTTTTGTTATGCTGATGGTGTCCTTTGTGGTACAGAAGCTTTTTAGTTTTATATAGTCACACTTGTTCATTTTTTATTTTGTTTCCCTTGCCTGAGGAGATGTGTCCAGGAAAAAATTGATCACACATATATTCAAGAGATTTTTGCTTATGTTTTCTTCTAAGAGTTTTATGGATTCATAACTCTTCAGGTCTTTGATCCATTTTGAGTTTAGTTTTGTATATGAAGTTAGACAATAATCCAGTTTCATTCTCTTACATATAGCTGTCAGTTGCCCCAACACCAGTTGTTGAAAGGCTGTCTTTTTTCCCATCGTATATTCATGGTGGTTCTTTATTGTATATTAATTGAGCACATATGCATGGGTTTATAGCTGGGGTCTCTATTCTGTTCCATTGATCTATGGGTCTGTTCTTATGCCAGTACCAAAGTGTTTGGATTAATGTTGCTTTGTAGTAAAGCTTGAAGTCAGGGAGCACAGTATCCCAGCTTTCTTGTTCTTTCTCAGGATTGCTTTGGCTATTAGGGTCTTTTGTGGTTCCATATGAATTTTAGAACTATTTGTTCTAGTTCATTGAAAAATACTGTTGTTTTTTTGGTAGGGATTGCATTGAATTTGTAAGTTATTTTAGGCAGGATGGGCTTTTTGACAGTACTAATTCTTCCTATGAGTACAGGATAGATTTTCATTTATTAGTGTATTCTTTAATTTCTTTCAAGAGTGTCTTGTAGTTTTCAGGGTATAGGTCTTTCACTTCCTTGGTTAGCTTTATTCCTAGGTATTTCATTCTTTTTTGATGCAATTGTGAATGGAGTTGTTTTCCTGATTTCTCTTTCTGCTTGTTCACTGTTAGTATATAGGAATGCAACAGTTTTCTGCATATTAATTTTGTATCCTACAACTTTCCTGAATTCAGTTATTAGTTCTAACAGTTTTTGGTGGAGTCTTTAAGCTTTTCTATGTATAATATAATGTCATCTGTGAATAGTGACAGTTTGACTTCTTCCTTACCAATTTGGATGCCTGTTATATCTTTGTTTTGTCTGATTGCCATGGCCAGGACTTCTAGTTATGTTGAATAAAATTAGTGAGAGTGGACATCTTTGTCTTGTTCCCAATCTTAGAGGAAAAGCTTTCATCTTTTTGCTAGTAAATATGATGCTAACTGTGGTTTTGTTGTTTTGTTGTATATGGCCTTTATTATATTGAACTACACACACACTATACCCATTTTATTGGGAGTTTTTATTGTGAATGGATGTTAAATTTTGTCAAATGCTTTTTCAGCATCTAGTGAAATGATCATGTGGTTTTTAATCCTTTTTTTGTTAATGTGGTGTATGATGTTGATTGACTTATGAATATTGTACCATCCATGTATCACTGGAATAAATCCCACTTGATCATTAAGGATGAGCATTTTGATGTGTTTTTGAATTTGGTTTGCTGATATTTTGTTAAGGATTTTTTCATCTGTTCATCAGAGATATTGTACTGATTTTCTTTTCTTGTGGTGTCTTTGCTTGGTTTTGGTATTAGAGTGATGCTGGTCTCATAGATTGAGTTTGGAAGTATTCCCTCCACTTTTGCTTTTTGGAAAAGTTCAAGGAGAGTGGGTGTTAGGTCTTCTTTAAATGTTTGAAAGAATTCAGCTGTGAAGCCATCTAGACATGGATTGTGGGGTTTTTTTGGAAGTTTTTTGATTACCAATTCGATTTCATTGCTGCTAATTGGTCTGCTCAGATTTTCTGTTTCTTCCTGGGTCAGTCTTAGAAGGTTGTATTTTCCTAGTAACTTGTCCATTTCTTCTAAGTTTTCCAATTTATTGGCATATAATATTTCATAGTATTCTCTAATAATTTTTTGTATTTCTATGATATCAGTTATGATTATTCTTTCTTCATTTCTGATTTTGCTTTTGTGTGTACTCTTTCTTTTTTCTTGATAAGTCTGACTAAGGTATCTATTTTGTTTATTTTCTCAAAGTACAAACTCCTGGTTTAATTGATTTTTTCTGTTGTTTTATTCTTACCTGTTTCATTTCTGCTCTCATCTTTATGTCCCTCCTTCTAGTAACTTTGGGATGCATTTGTTCTTCTTTTCCTAGTTTCTTTAATTGTCAGTTTAGACTGTGTATTTGGGATCATTCTAATTTCTTGAGGTAGGCTTGTATTGCTAAAATTATGAAATGCTTCACAAATTTGTGTGTCATATTTGCAGAGGGGCCATGCTAATCTTCTCTGAATCATTCCCATTTTAGTATATTTTCTCCCAAAATGAGCATGGCAGTTATATTTTTGAAGTGCTGAAAAAAAAAGTCATTCTATATCCAGTGAAAATATCCCTGAGGGAATACATTCTCAGAAGAAGAAAATGCTCAGATTTCACTAGATCTGCTTTAAAAAAATTGATAAATGAAGTTCTTCATCAAATGGAAATGATACCAAAAGGATATATGGTATACCAGAAATGAAGAAAGAGCAAGAGCAAAGGAAACTATTTGGCAAATATAATAGAGTATTTTTGTCTTAGTTCTTTTTTTAAATTTCTTATTAAAGTATTATTGATATACATTCTTATAAAGGTTTCACATAAAAAATGTAGTTCTACGTTTACCCATGTTATCAAGTCCCCACCCATACCCCAATGGAATCACTGTCCATCAGTGCAGCAAGATGCCACAGATCCACTATGTGCCTTCTCTGTGCTACACTGTTCTCCCCGTGATCCCTCACACCATGTGCACTAAACATAATACCCCTCAATCCCTTTCTCCTCCCTTCCACCCGCCCTCCCACACCCCTCCCCTTTGGTAACCGCTAGTCCCTTCTTGAAGTCTCTGAGTCTGCTGCTATTTTGTTCCTTCAGTTTTGTTTCATTGTTATACTCTACAAAAGAGGGAAATCATTTGGCACTTGTCTTTCTCCACCTGGCTTATTTCACCAAGCATAATATCCTCCAGCTACATCCATGTTGTTGTTGCAAATAGTAGGATTTGTTTCTTTCTTATGGCTGAATAGTATTCCATTGTGTATATGTATCACATCTTCTTTATCCATTCATCAACTGATGGACACAGGTTGCTTCCATATCTTGGCTATTGTAAATGGTGCTGCAATAAACATAGGGGTGCATATGTCTTTTTGAATCTGAGAAATTATATTCTTTGGGTAAATTTGTAGGAGTGGAATTCCTCGGTCAAATGGTATTTCTATTTTGAGTTTTTGAGGAACCTCCATATTGCTTTCCCCAATGGTTGAATTAATTTATATTCCCAACAATAGTATATGTGGGTTCTCCTTTCTCTGCAATCTCGCCAACATCTATTGTTCCTTGTCTTTTGGACATTGTCCTTCCTAACTGGTGTGAGGTGATATCTCATTGAGGTTTTAATTTGCATCTCCCTGATGATTAATGATGTGGAGCATCTTTTCATGTGTCTGTTGGCCATCTGAATTTCTTTGGAGAACTGTCTCTTCATATCCTCTGCCCATTTGTTAATTGGGTTGTTTGCTTTTTGGGTGTTGAGGCGTGTAAGTTCTTTATATATTTTGGATGTTAACCCCTTGTTGGATATGTCATATAAAAATATACTCTCCCATACTGTAGGATGCCTTTTTGTTCTGTTGATGGTGTCCTTTGCTGTACAGAAACTTTTTAGTTTTATGTAGTCCCATGAGTTCATTTTTGCTTTTGGTTTCCTTGCTTGAGGATATGTGTTCAGGAAGAAGTTGCTCATGCTTATATTCAGGAGATTTTTGCCTATGTTTTCTTCCAGGAGTTTCATGGTTTTATGACTTACATTCAAGTCTTTGATCCATGTCAAGTTTACTTTTACGTATGGGGTTAAACAATAATCTAATTTCATTCTCTTGCATGTAGCTGTCCAGTTTTGCCAACATCAGCTATTGAAGAGGGCTGTCACTTCCTCATTGTACATCCATGGCTCCTTTATCATATATTAATTGACCATATGTGCTTGGGTTTATATCAGGACTCTCTAGTCTGTTCCATTGGTCTATGGTTCTGTTATTGTGCTGGTACCAAATTGTCTTGTTACTGTGGCTTTGTAGAAGAGCTTTAAGTTGGGGAACATAGTCCCTCCAGCTTTATTCTTCCTTCTCAGGATTGTTTTGGCTATTTGGGGTCTTTTGTGGTTCCATATGAATTTTAGAACTATTTGCTCTAGTTTGTTGAAGAATGCTGTTGTTATTTTGATAGGAATTATATTGAGTATACAGACTGCATTAGGCAGGATGGCCATTTTGACATTATTAATTCTTTTTTCCCTGAGCACGGGATGTGTTTCCATTTATTGGTATCTTCTTTAATTTCTCTCATGAGTGTCTTGTAGTTTTCAGCATATAGATCTTTCACTTCCTTGGTTAGGTTTATTCCTAAGTATTTTATTCTTTTTGATGCAACTGTGAATGGAATTGTTCTCCTGATTTCTCTCTCTGCTAGTTCATTGTTAGTGCATAGGAATGCCACAGATTTCTTCATATTAATTTTGTATCCTGCAACTTTGCTGAATGCAGATATTAGATCTAGTAGTTTTGGAGTGGATTATTTAGAGTTTGTTATATACAATATCATATCATCTGAAAGCAGGGACAGTTTAACTTCGTCCTTGCCAATCTGGATGCCTTTTATTTCTTTGTGTTCTCTGCTGTGGCTAGGACCTCCAGTACTATATTGAATAGAAGTGGGGAGAGTGGGCATCCTTGTCTTTTTCTGATCTTAAAGGAAAAGCTTTCAGCTTCTCACTGTTAAGCATAATTTTGGCTGTGGGTTTGTAATATATGGCCTTTATTATGTTGAGGTACTTGCCCTCTTTACCCATTATGTTGAGAGTTTTTATCATGAATAGATGTTGAATTTTGTGAAATGCTTTTTCAGCATTTATGGAGATAATCATGTGGTTTTTGTTCTTCTTTTTGTTAATGTGGTGGATGATGTTGATGGATTTTTGAATGTTGTACCACCCTTGCATCCCTAGAATAAATACTACTTGATCATGATGGATCTTTTGATGTATTTTTGAATTCAGATTGCTAATATTTTGTTGAGTATTTTTGCATCTATGTTTATTAAGGATATTTGTGTGTAATTTTCTTTTTTTGTGATGTCTTTGCTTGGTTTTGGTATTAGAGTGATGCAGGCCTCTTAGAATGAGTTTGGAAGTACTCCTTCTTCTTCTACTCTTTGGAAAACTTTAAGGAGGATGGGTATTAGGTCTTCACTAAATGTTTGATAAAATTCAGTGGTGAAACTATCTGGACCAGGGGTTTTGTACTTAGGTAGGTTTTTGATTACCAGTTCAATTTCATTGCTGTTAATTGGTTTGTTGAGATTTTCTGTTTCTTCCTTGGTCAGCCTCGGAAGGTTGTGTTTTTCTAGAAAGTTGTCCATTTCTTCTAGGTTATCCAGTTTGTTGGCATATAATTTTTCATTGTATTCTCTAATAAGTCTTTGTATTTCTGTGGTGTCTGTAGTGATTATTCCTTTCTCATTTCTGATTGTGTTTATGTGTGCAGACTCTTTTTTTTTCTTGATAAGTCTGGCTAGGGGTTTATCTATTTTGTTTATTTTCTGAAAGAACCAGCTCTTGCTTTCATTGATTCTTTCTATTGTTTTATTCTTCTCAATTTTATTTATTTCTGCTTTAATCTTTATTATGTCCCTCCTTCTACTGACTTTGGGCCTCATTTATTCTTCTTTTTCTAGTTTCATCAATTGTGAGTTTTGACAGTTTATATGGGATTGTTCTTTTTTCCTGTGGTAGGCCTGTATTGTAATATACTTTCCTCTCAGCACAGCCTTGGCTGCTTCCCACAGATTTTGTGGTGTTGAATTATTGTTGTTATTTGTCTCCATAATTGTTTGATCTCTGTTTTTATTTGGTCATTGATCCATTGGCTATTTAGGAGCATATTGTGAAGCCTCCATGTGTTCGTGGGATTTTTCATTTTCTTTGCATAATTTATTTCTAATGTCATGCCTTTGTGGTCTGAGAAACTGGTTGGCACAATTTCAATCTTTTTAAATTTACTGAGGCTCTTTTTGTGGCCTAGTATATGATCTATTCTTGCAAATTTTCCATGTGCACTTGAGAAGTATGTGTATTCTGCTGCTTTTGGGTGTTGAGATCTGTAGATGTCTGTTAGGTCCATCTTTTCTATTGTGTTGTTCAGTGCCTCTGTGTCCTTACTTATTTTCTGTCTGGTGGATCTGTCCTTCAGAGTGAGTGGAGTGTTGAAGTCTCCTAAAATGAATGCATTGCATTCTATTTCCCCTTTTAATTCTGTTAGTATTTTTTTCATATATGTTGGTTCTCCTATGTTGGATGCATAGGTATTTATAATGGTTATATCTTCTTGTTGAATTGACCCCTTAATCATTATGTAATGTCCTTCTTTGTCGTTTGTAACTTTCTTTGTTTTGAAGTCTATTTTGTCTGATACAAGTACTGCAACTCCTGCTTTTTTCTCCCTATTAGTTGCATGAAATATCTTTTTCCATCCCTTCACTTTTTGTCTGTGTATGTCTTTGGGTTTAAAGTGAGTCTCTTGCAGGCAGCATGTAGATTGGTCCTGTTTTTTAATCCATTCAGTGACTCTATTCCTTTTGATTGGTGCATTCAGTTCATTTAAATTTAAGGTGATTATCGATAGGTATGTACTTATTGCCATTTCAGGCTTTAGATTCATGGTTACCACAGGTTCAAGGTTACCTTCCTTCCTATCTAAGAGTCTAATTTAAATCTCTTAATATGTTATTGCAAACACAATCTAAAGGTTCTTGTCTTTTCCTCCTTTTTCTTCCTCCTCAATTCTTTATATAATAGATCTCATATTCTGTACTGTTTGTCTGTTCCTTGACTGATTTTGGGGTTAGTTGATTTAATTCTGCATTTGCTTAGTAATTAGATGTCCTACTTTCTTTACTGTGGTTTTATTACCTCTAGTGACAGCTATTAAATCTTAGGAACACTTCCATCTATAGCATTTCCTCCAAAATACACTCTATAGTTGGTTTGTTGGAGGTAAATTCTTTCAGTTTTTGCTTATCTGGAAATTGCTTAACCCCTCCTTCAAATTTAAATGATAATCTTTCCAGATAAAGTAATCTTGGTTACAGGCCCTTCTGCTTCATGGTATTAAATACATAATGCCACTCCCTTCTGGCCTGTAAGGTTTCTGATGAGAAGTCTGATGTTAGCCTGATGGGCTTTCTTTGTATGTGATCTTATTTCTCTCTCTGGCTGCTTTTAATAGTCTG